ATAACAATAATTGCCTGGTTTACTTTGTACAATTGGGGGATCAAATGCTCATGACCATGCTTGTGAATCACAGAGAATCCCCCAATGTAATAGACAAACACTTTAAAGAAACTTAAACTTCGTATCTGTGTGCATTTGAATTTCCCTTTGGCTCTCTGTGATGTTAGCTTCAAATTAGTATGTTTTGCCATAGTTGTATATTGTCCTCTTTCCCGAATGCAATCCCTGATACATACTTCAATGACTTTGCTCATGACCTTTCCCTGCTTGGAATTTCTTTTCCCAATTTTTCTTATTTGTTAAGACTTTCTAGAGGAATTAGAGTTTAGCTTAATACCTGAACTAACAGATAAAAGACAAATAGTCATACCAACAGCTTTCATTTATTAAATCCTCATTATATGTCTGGCATGATGAATTTATATGCATCAACTTAGGAAATCCCAACAAAAAGTCTATGAGCAGAAGCTATTATTATCTTCATTTTGCAAATGAAGATACTGAAGTTTAGAGAAGTCAAGTAACTTGGCCAGGGTAACATATATAATAACTGGTCAAGTCAAAACTGGAGCCTAAAATCCATGTTTTTANCTCTTTCCCGAATGCAATCCCTGATACATACTTCAATGACTTTGCTCATGACCTTTCCCTGCTTGGAATTTCTTTTCCCAATTTTTCTTATTTGTTAAGACTTTCTAGAGGAATTAGAGTTTAGCTTAATACCTGAACTAACAGATAAAAGACAAATAGTCATACCAACAGCTTTCATTTATTAAATCCTCATTATATGTCTGGCATGATGAATTTATATGCATCAACTTAGGAAATCCCAACAAAAAGTCTATGAGCAGAAGCTATTATTATCTTCATTTTGCAAATGAAGATACTGAGGTTTAGAGAAGTCAAGTAACTTGGCCAGGGTAACATATATAATAACTGGTCAAGTCAAAACTGGAGCCTAAAATCCATGTTTTTAACCTTTACTTTAAAACATCTGCCTCCAGGAATCAAAAATTTCTCCCTCTTGACTCTGGTTGAATGGTCTTTTGCTGTGCTGTCGTGTTCCACGTGAGGAACATGTGTGGTCTAAGGAGAGAGTACTAAACTGGGCAGTCCAGTTTCTAATTTTGTTTCTACACAGGTAAGTCTTCTGTCATTGGACACATAATCTTCTCTCCTTAATCTTAGTTTCTCTACCTGGAAGATAGCAGCTCGGTGAAAATTGACATTGATCAGATAATCTGAGGTTCTCTTTTCTTTCTAATGCTCTTCATTCTGTCTTTAAAGAAAAAAAGTAAAATGCATGCACCCAATTCCTTTATTTTTTTAATGCCAAAATATCAGCAACATAACCACTTATTTTTCAGGTTTTAATGGAATTGGATAAACTTCTTCCCTCTGAGTGACCAACTTGTTCCATCACTTAGATGATTTTAGTAGCCTGGTCTTCCAGCTTTCTACTCTTGCCCCATGTGGGCAATTCACCACACACATAGTAAATTTATATTTCCAAACCCAATATCTCTCTTGAGTTTGAGACTCAAACAATCGCCCTCTTCATAGGTCCATTTGGATGTCTAATTTGTACCTCTAATTTAACATGGCTAGAATTCCTGATTTCCCTTTTACTTTCAGGAAGATTCCCACATCTCCTTTAGTGTTTCCTGTCTCAGGATAGCTCACCTCCATTTGCTCAGGTGTTTAATCCCCAAACCTAGAAATCACACTTGATTGCTCCTTTCTTCACATCCCTAAGTTTTTCATTCTCATCAACAAGTCCTGTTGGCTCCACTTTCAAAATTTTTATCCTCTGCTGTGGATTGAATATCTCTCTAAATCTCACTGAAGCTTGATCCCCATTGTAACAGTGTTAAGAGGTTGGGAAATCAGACAACAGCAGTGTTAAAAGTGGGGTCTTTAAGAGGTGATCAGATCATGATGATTATGCCCCATGAATGGATCAATCCATGAGGGGTTAGTGGTGTAGTGGGTTGTCACAGGAGTGGCACTCATGGCTTTATAAGGAGAGCAAATGAGCACATTAAAGAGCACTTGCCATTCTTGACAAGTGATTGCCTGTGTCACCATGGGATGCTGTAGAGAGTTCTCACTCAGAAGGAGGCCCTCACCAGGTACGCCCCCTGGACCATGGACTTCCCAGTTTCTGGAACTATAAGAAATAAATTTCCTTTCTTTATAAATTACCCAGTTTCAAGTATTCTGTTATAAGCAACAGAAAATGGACTAATACCCTCTCCATCTGAGATAAGGAAATAATTTTTATTTTAATGTCCTTCAGTTTTATTACATCAGGACCAGTAGCTACAGTGAATGGGAAGCCAACACTAGCTGTCAGTATAAAGAATTTACTGTAGGGAATATCAAGGTGAAATGCCTTCAAAGCTTTGGGTGATGTGAAGTACCCGTCATAGCATACAGATCCGGGGTGATGCTGATGGTAGGAGGAAGAGCTAGATGACATTTTTTCTCTTTGCCACACGTGCTGAAGTGCAACAGCATCATTTTTATTGGGGTGGCTGAGTATGTTTTGAAATATTAACCAGTTCACAGGTTGGATTAGAGAAGAGGGGAGTGTATGGTATGCTTGGGGTGGTCAGGGAAAGCTTTGTGAGGAAAATGGAACTTGAATTCACCTTTATGTATGGATTAGAGTCAATTAAATACAGAAGAAAAGTGCATTCCAGTGAGAGGAGAATTTTGGGGACCAAAGTACAAAATGTGGGGATACACAAGTTATATTTGGGTAGCTCATGGGAGAAACAGTAAGGCTAAAGTGTAAGTTTTAAATAAGTTATAGCTAAAAAGATTCACATTGTATATTTCACTTTTTAACCTAATGTTTACAGAGTATGTGCTGTAAAAGCAAGCACTGTACTATGTGTTTACATGCACCACTTTATTTAATTATTACAACCACTCTATATTGTGGGTAGTATTTTTTAATGTCATTTTGCATAAGAGGAGACAGTGGCTCAGAGAGGTAAAGAGACTTGCCTCAGCTCATGTAGTCAGGGCTAGAAGTGGGAGTCATACCCAGGCATTCAGATTCTCATGTCTCATCACCACTCTGCTATGTGGCTTCTGGAAGTGATTTTACCCCATTGTGGTGAGATTGTAGAGAGAGTAGAGCTTTGAAATATGCAGAGGCACATTTCTTTGTCTTTAATATTTTTTATCTTCAGAAATAGGGCCGGCCCGGTGGCGCACTGGATAGTGCGCTGCTTGGGAAGCGCGGCGGCGCTCCCGTCCGAGGGTTCGGATCCCACATACGGACCGGCTCCCGCTCACTGGCTGAGCGGGGCGCGGGAGCAGCACCGAGGCTTGCAATCCCGTTGCCGGTCCCCGGTCCGGTACGGGGGCAACACTGAGGGTTGCGATCCGTTGCCGGACACGGAAAAAAGACAAAAGACAAAAAAAAAAAAAAAAAAAAAAAAAGAAATAGGAGTT